CTCTTCCGATCCCTCATTGCTCCATGACATGGAGCAGACTGTTCAGTGCTCAGCGAAGCAAACAGAGTGGGTGAAGCAAATTTGCTCACATCCTGCTCAAGATCACCTTTCTGCTACTACGCTAGAAGAGGCGGAGGATGACAAGGGCAGCGGGGGCGTTGAGGAGCCTACAGAAGTTATCACAGAGAACTCCCATAATGGTCATGATCAGGAAATTCCTCTGGTGGCAGATCACACCGTTCCTCATTTATGCTCTAGCATGATGGGCCTGTGCGAGGAGATGCAAGGTGATCCCATTGAAGAAATTGCTTGGCGACTTGCTCTCCAATCTGTTCTAGAAGAAGAAGAGCGAGCAAGGATGAGGAAGAAAGTTGTGGAGGATGAGGAAGAATGTAAAGAAGAGGTAGTTCTTGATCTTCTCCAAGGGGAGAGACCACATTTTGAAGAAGGAAGGGGGGGGGGGTTGTGGAAGCAATTGGTGTCCAGGTTGAGGATGAAGTTGAGGTGGAAGAGGCTTGCACCGGGCCTATGTTACATTTGATCTCTCCACCAAACTTCGAGGAGCTACTTGGCAAGGACCCATTTGCAGTGTCTCTTTGCCCAACTAAGACCACATCAACATCAATCCCTCTTGGTGGATACGATGGTGGTCAATCGAATATATCTTATCTGGTTTGGGGCAATGAGACAAGAGCGGACGCGAAGGAGAGGTCTCGAGAGTGGAGACTTCATCTTCCTCAAGGCCACGAGCCATCTTCATCACCTATCACATCACATGCTCGTGACTTGAGACTCCACCTCATTAATGAGAACCTCAACTTCAAGGAGGTTTTGGGGTGGACCGAAACTTAGGAGCCACCGTCTGGCTAAGACGTAAAAGAAGCGCATGTAAGGAGGCAACCCCACCAAGGTTTGTTTTTCTTTCGTTTGTTTTTTTCGGTTTGTCCACTTGGAACTATGGTTTCTATCACCCAGTGTGTTTTGCTGATGCTAGCCTCGCTGACTGGTCCACTTCCAGTCCCCCAGCAGTGTTCCCATCCGGTAACATCGTTCCCCTTATCTTTCCCTCTACTCCATTGAGGACAATGTCGTGCTTAAGTGTGGGGGGTGCTTTGTATCGGTTGGAATATATATTTGTGTGCTTGGAGCCTAGTCCGCTGTCCGAATCTTACGATTTGAGGGCTCCAAGTACTGCTGTTTGATCATATTGGCACTATGTTTTGATGGATGAATCGATTGGTTTTCGGATGAATGCATGACAACTTGTTTGCGACTAGGACAACCTATGATGAGGACTGAGATGTGCAGTAGGACGATGTAGGGGTTCCGTTTTTCAACTGTTTGCTTGCCAACTGTGACTTGATCTGATTACTTGTTCTTGACAGTCGTTTATGCATCTAGTTCAGGGTATCAGAATGTGAGATAGAGCATATAGGTAGCCATGTGAGATTTGAGCCTGCTCGTTTCTTTCTTGTGCGATAGATCCCTCTTCCATGATGTGTAGCATTCACGTTGTCACTAGCTAAGATGATGGGGGCATAGGATTAGCCCACGCCCAAAACTGACTGTCCTGATGTGTCATACCCCCTAGTCAGCCCCTTTGAGCCGTGTGTTATCCTTTCTTTTGGTCTCTAACGAAAATATAATCACCCTTGTTGCATCTTTTAGAAGGTTCCACAGAGTGGTTTTTACATATTCTCTGCTGTTTCTGCTAAAGTCTATGTGAGTGTTGGAGGTAGTGCTTAAAGTTGGGCAGGTGTTTGAAATTTGTGCAGGAGTGGTGGCTCTCTTAAGAAATGAAAAGAAAAATGAAAGTAAAACAAAGAAAAATTGAAAGCAAAAGAGAGGCACTACCAAAAATCTGAATGATGCCCATTAAGTAGTGTTTCTTAGCAGTCTGGCTTGGAAATGCTGATGTTTATGCCTCCTTCGCTCTTGTGCTCTTGAGATATTGAGTAATGCAGAATAGCAGAAAGAAAATACCGGTTTGTTTGACTGTGAGTGTGTGTTTGGAAAGTGTGGAACCTTTTGCTATGAATACTTCCACCACCTAAAAGGCTTTTTCCCCATGTCCAAGACCCTAGCCAGTCATTTGAACCTGTGTCTAAGACCTCCTGATTAGTTAGTGGTGACACCCCATATGTGAACTCTAGCATTGAGAGGCTGCCATCATGGTGAAGAGATGATAGGGATTGAGAGAAATAGCATGCGCATCTTTCGCATCAAATTGTCCTGACCCCACTGGTCGAGAGTAGGTGATTCATTTTCATTTTCTATATGCTCTTGTACCCCGGTGAGGACCTAGATTGCTCGGTCTCTATTCTGATGTCTTGATTTGGATGCATGAGTTGACTGTTTTGAGTAAGTGGTTGAATCAAGTCTAGGTTGGCCAGTAAACAGAAGGGAGACTCTTCCTGTACTCGATTTGCTGCGCTCGAATGTCCTTTGTGGTGGTTGTCCAGGTTGTTATTGAGGTTGTTCATGTATTGATGTTTGAAAACCAGTGCGATTCACGTGTTCTGTGCCTTTATGACTTGTCCCCAATGTTGGTCGATTGAAATATGTAAGCTTACCTAGTGTCTGACTTGGTTTGCTTGGGGACAAGCAAACGGTTAAGTGTGGGGGAGTTTGATAGACCGTTATTTACACATGTTTTTACCCCCGTTCTTACACCGTTTTAGGTATTGATTCTCGTGTTTTAGGCCGATTTCACGCTAGGTTGTGCTTGTTTGTGATATTTCAGGTCCTAGTACGTTAATGAAGGTTTAGGAGCGAGTTTGGGGTCGATTGGACGAAGATCGGACGAATGGCGAGGTTTCAAGGAAGCTGCACGGGCATACCATGGCATCGCACGGCCGTGCGAATGACAATCCAGGCCGTGCGGAATTCTGCGAGAGCGAACACGGGCAGGCTGGATTTCTCACACGGCCGTGCAACCCTGGCCGTGTGAGATGGCTGAAGGTCGATTAATTGATGCGCCGCGTTTTGAGCCGCACGGCCAATGTGGTGATCTGCACGGCCGTGCGGCCTGGCCGTGCGAGTCGGGAAGTCCTGGTTTTAGAGCCTACTCCGAGCCAAAAGTGGGAGAATCGAGTTTTCAGAGCAAAACAGAGCCCTAGAGAGAGAAAGTACGAAGAACACATCCTAGAAGCTGTCTTAGAGCTGGATTTCATCGAATCGAGCTTGGAGATCGTCATAGGAGTGGAAATCATCGTCCCGGAGCAGATTTTCCTCATCGTTATGAGTATGACTAATCCGATTACTGTTTTCTCCTCTCTCTATGGAGTAGAACCCTTCTCTCACTTGGGTATGAAGAACCCTAGTTCCTTGTGTTAGGGATTTGATTGTAATGATTTGGGATGATATTACTGTTTGATTTTAATCGAATGACGCATGTTTATTGAATTGATTGGAGTCTGATCAGCTTTTCTCGATTTCTGCTGCAACCTGAGATAGATAGAATCTGATTAGGTTGTTAGAGCCTCTTCATTCGATAGTAGGAGATTGGCTATACGAGAGTTAGCCAGTTTACTGCTTTGTACTGGTGTTCTTGGCGCCAGTAGTGGAGTTCTGTGTTCATAGCCTCAGCTTTCTATCTCGGTGAAGACTAGTCGTCTGTCGGGTAGTTAGACTGAGAGGGCTTGGTCAGCTTAAGAGATTCCAAGCTACTGTCGGATCTTCCGCAGTCTAATCAACAGTAAATCAACCCAGGGAATTGCAATTGAACCTAACTAAGGGGCTAGGGGGACTCAATCCCGAGTGATTCTTTCTTGACTTTGAAAACCGAACAATTTACTGCTTTCTTGTTGCTTTTACTTTTAATAACAATCACTCGAACTAGTTTGCTAGATAATAGAGAATCACGGAGTAAGCAGTAGATCTAGACCCCGGGTTGATAATTGAACTTGACTGTTACTGCATTCCCGGACTGCGATTACACTTGATAGCAGATTGGTGTTGTGTTTTGGCGTGTCATGGAGTCGCGCCAAGGAGAAATGCAACCCGACAGCCGACACCGGCAAGAGCAACCACCGCAGAGGAATGAAGGCAAATTAGGAAGCACTTGGAGGGATGATGCTGCCCTGATTTGGAGGAAAGCTAGAGCTGGTAGAAACTGAAACTTAAGTAAACCTCATTGTAATGACAATTATTATTAGCACTTTGTTATGCCAATTAGTGAAATTTCCTTCAACAATTAGGTATTAATAAAATTTCCTTCAGTTGTACCCACTTCAACAAAACTTAAGTAAACTTCCTTGTAGTGCCAATTATTATAGCCAGCACTCTATAATACCAATTATTAAACATTCCTCCAACTGAACTCATTTCAGTAAAACTTCATTATAATAAAACCAATATAAGAGCCTTCGAATGAGCTTAATGAAAAAGCATATGTTGATTTCTTTAATTGGATAAACAAACTACTCTGTTGTGCTGACAACTATGTCTAACACGACACAATCCTATCCATATTCCTACCAATTAAAGAAAATAGCATTTAAGAAGACGACAATGGAGCAGTAACAGCCAAAGTTGACCCATTACTAACAGATGTTGAAAGTACCATATATCATATTTCAACAAAATGTAACCATAAAATTATTTGGTTTTCCTTTCGAACACAAAACCAGTAAAATGTAAAGACAAAGTAAATCTCAAAATATGAACATAAGAAGGAATTTATGAATGGAGAAGTTCCATTAACAATCTAGTAGTAGTGTCTAGAACATTCACTTTCCTTTGATGAAAGGTAAAAAAATGAGGTTGACATATGTTGTTAGTATCTATCTAGTAGTAGTGGCTAAGTAGTTCTTCTGTCTATAGTCTCCTTTGTCTAGATATAGAGTTTGCTTTCTGAACATAGGCGGTAGTTAGAGCATGTTTGCTGGTTACAGAACTATGAATTTTTATATGCAGAGCTTGATTTTAGATTCCCAGTTGGAGCTCTATTCCACGGAATCAATGCAATATTGACCACAAATCCACTTAAGATAAACTTACAGTCTGGAATTGAAGAGACTAAGCATTCTTGATAGTACGAAGTAGAAAACCTAAAACACATAGCCCAATTGAGCACTTGTACGGCATGAAAAACTTACTTGAGATTTATCACTAATGTGCACGTGCAAGATCCTCGTCTCGGGCAGAGAATATCACATCTATCCACTGCTATGTCTGCAATCGGAGGGAGAAAACTCTGATGAAACCGTCAGTGCGCTGCTTCATGATCGTTGTCGCAAGAGTAGATGTTGGGTGTGCGATTGAGGAAGCCAAAGCGCAGATGCATTCGAATCCTGTGTCATCGGCGGAGTGGACGGGAGGAGTTTCATGCTAGAAAATTGGTTGACAGCACACGACTCTTCAAGGTACTTTGCTGCCTATTATCACCATTGTCATGAAAGTGATTTCCATGAGAAAGAGGCAAAGCAGACCCTTTTGATTGAAGAAAAGAATGAAAGAACAAACTGACCAGAGAGAGAAGAATCACCAAAACCCATTACTCTGGACCCCGTTAAACCCTTGGGCAATGGTCGCCGTGGTGCAACAAAGATAAAAAGGAAACCCCCCCCCCCCCAAAGAAACACAATTAGCACCCGCCACCATACTCATCGCAGGGCATTTTGTTACCATAGACAGGGAGAGAGAGTGAGATCGAGAAGAAGAGGGAGAGATTGGCAAAAAATAAAAGACATCAAGGGTATACATAGGAAGGGAAACCCACCAGCAAAACTGAAAGATGTGGCCACCGACGATGTGGTTGTGCTGTTAGAGAATAAAGGAATCGATGAATGTGAGGAGTATGTTCTTCGACAAGGAGGAGTGGAGTCGTCGAGCCGAGTAACTGGACCGATGAAACAATTTTGGTCCTGTGGAGAAAGGGAAATCGGAGGAAGGAATTTGTTGTGAGAAGGAGAAGGGGGAATCGGAGGAAGGACTATTGCGGTTGCACAGGGAAGAAGAAAAATCCCGCCCGAATTTCTAGCCACGTCAGCTCCCGTAAATCACTCTAAGGACACGGAAATTTGAATGGTGGATGCAGTTTTATGTTTCCACTATAAATGATACTGTAGATTTTCTAACGAATCTCTACATCAGCATCAACATCCACGTCAGTAAGGATAATTTTTTTATTTTATTAATTCATTTTCTAAATACAAATAGAAAACGGTAGTCTTCTCCACACCCCTAAGAACAACATTCAGCGGAGGCGACATCCCCCACCGCGCCCTTCTCTTCCCCTCCATTGTCATCATCGGACGCTTCATCAGCTTACCACCACAACCTCGACTTCTCCCAGGCAGACTAGAGTACGTGATTAATCTGATTTCGTTACTAATTTTATGAAATGGTGGTTACTGTGCTGTAAATGTATACGTTTTGGGGTGGAATGCATGGTTCCTGAAACTCCAACGCCGAAAATTCCGTATCAAGTCTGCCCTGACCCGTACTCAATACTGTGGAGATGGAGGAGGAAGAAATCTCGGAGGAAAAACTACTGATCTAATCATTCATTAGATCTTTGCTTCACCATGATGATGTGTTTATTGTCTTTTAACTTTTGATTTATACATATAAATGGACAGATAGGACAATTCTTTTGCTGAGTCTGATATAAAGGTTAAGCTACAAATAGTTGTAGAGAAAGTTCTCCTGATTTGTCATTCTGTTGTGGTTGGTTCACTGAGATCTCTGAAATCCTGATGTTAGAAGGATATCCAGAGACGTGGTTTGTGAAAAGGAAGCCCACCGCGTCTCGTCCAGTTCTCCTGCCAGAAAACCCGCTTCGAATCTCCACTCACCACAACCAAAACACAACTCCCTCCAGGGCAACCCAAGCTCTCCCTATTTGTCTTACTCCTCCTCCTATTCACCAAAACCCTTCATCCCTCCTTTCGCTTCTTTTCTCCTTCTCGTTAGCATCATCTTCCTCCAGTCCCGACCAACCGTCGAACAATTTCCGAATAAGTTATTCTTCCTAGCGTTTCTTGCGAGCTAGTTTATATGTCTGTTCAATCGCACATAGAGTTCTAACTGAAACACCCAGTTCTCTATTTGTAGTTCTCATGATCGGGTTTGTGTATTTTTTTCTCTGAGCTCCTCCAGGAATAGTGCGAATATCAATTCTACTGGTAAATCTCCACTTCATCGGTGCACTCTCAACCCTCCAAATCCCCCAAAATTCCTAATTACAAATTCCCAAACCATTACTCTTTGACTCGCCTTTACCGTCACACTAGAAAATGGCCAAGTGTAACCACTTACTAGAGCGTAGTATAGCGGGTTTGGGTTTTAATGTCAACCCGGGTGCTAAGTGTGCTGACTACTCTGTGAATTCTTATTATTTAGCACCGTGAATGTAGTGAAGGTCTTAATAAACAAACAAGCAAAGCAGTAAACAATTGTTTTCAAGTTGAGAGAGATCACCCGGATATGGTTCCCCCTAGACTGCCGTTAAGCCAAATTGTAATTCACCAAGTTCAAATTCAAGGATAGTTATACTGCGGGAGGTTCTTAAACAGTCTGCAGTCTCGACTAAAGGTCTCCAGACCCTCTCAATCTGAGTCCCCAGCGGGCGACTAATTAACCTCCACCGGAGTAAACAGATTGAGGCCCTAACGAACAAAACCTCCTCTACTGGAGTAAATCCAGTACAGAATAGTGAATTGACTCCTCGACTAAAGTCGTCAATTCACTACCTTCAATCAAGGGTACTCTATCAACCTAGGCAGATATTATCTTTCTAGGTCAAAGCAGAAACAACGAGAATGTGATCAGGATTCATGCAATTCATCAAATCAAACCTCAATTGAATATAATCAAACCAATGGATTCATACTTGGGTTCATACAATCAGACATAACATACAAATCTAGGGTTCTCCATACCCAGATGAATGAGGAAGGTACTCCATGGAGAGAGAAGCAGAAACTAGCTCAGATGCAGAAAACATGATGTAAAGGATGGGTTTCTACTTCTGGTCGTCAATCGGCACTTCTCCAAGTGTTAGCCGAGCTCCAATGGTGATGAAGATCAATCTAAAGCACTTGGGAACTCTGGTTCGTCGCTTTCTCTCTCTAGGTATGGCTTTCTTTCTCCAAAACTAGGAACCCTTGTAAAATTGGCCCTTTTTTCCCCCTCAAAAGGGAGCAGATCACGATCCCCGGTCATAATAACCAGTCGGGTATTTCAGCTGCCCGGCCGGGTATTTTGAAACGCAGCGTAGTGGGGAAGGAGATACCCGATCGAGGTTCAAAATACCCGATCGGGTATTTTAGCTATCCGACCGGAACCCCTTCTGGGATTTTGGCGTCCAAAACGTGTATCCCCGGCCTCTCCTTGCCTTTTACCCGGTCGGGTATTTTCACTCCTGGCCGGGTATTTTGCTCCTCCAGCTCCCTTTTACTCCAACGGTCCCCTTTTCGCCCGAAACTCAATTCCTCGCCTCCAAGTCAACGCCAAGTCCTGAAATGTGACATAAACACACAACCTAGCGTGAAATCGGCTTAAAACACGTGAATCAACATCTCAAATGGCTCAAGAATAGGGGTATAAACATGTGTAATTATTGGTCTATCAAATTACCCCACACTTAACCGTTTGCTTGTCCCCAAGCAAACCTAACTCAAACCAATGCAGCTCTCTAGACCTCTATAGCAACAAACAACCTCGATCGTCGATAGAGGATGTTCTAGATCATTTAGCAACTTACGAGGTCAACCAACACACAAGTCATCTCCTAACTTCTTCGGCGAGAATGCTAGTCTCGAGTCGGCATCATGGCAAATAGTGATCAGAGGACAAATGAGTCGTGGACAAATGAATTCTCAAAAACAAAAGATCATGGACTCACATTTCTCAAGGTGCTCTTACTTCTTTTTGAAGATGGTTGGAACCCTTTTTTTCTTCATTTTTTTGTTGTTTTTTTTTTTCAAGGGTTCCAATCCGATTTTCAGAAAACGGGGCTCCCACCTTGCAAAGATTTTGCGGGAACCAGGCTCTTACCGGCCATGCCGAGAGCATCTCTTACCGGCCATGCCGGGAGCGGATGTCTCGAGCCTCATGCGGGGGAAAGGAATGTAAGGGGGCTGGAGGTAGTAGATGGAAATTGGGAACAGATTCCCGTCTCCCCTTACACACTTTCGCCCTATTCGCACGGGAGATGTTATTTTAAAGCACATTTTTTAGCACATTTTATTTCAAAACATGATACAGGAGTCCATGACAGGTAGAGAGTCCATAATGCCACACAATTCAAGGTCCTAGGATCACTAATTCACACAATCAACCAACACAATATGAAGAAGAGAGGTGACTTCTTAAATGCATCAACATCCTCCATAGTGCTACACTACCTCCCTAGGTTGCATGCTACTATAGAGACTGTCAATTCAAAGCATACTGAGCAGGAAATTGCAAGGAAACACGTACTTGGAGCCCTCAAATTTAAAAATTTGGACAGTGGACTAGGCTCCAAGCACACAAACAGATCTAAGCAGTCAAAAAAGAACACCCCCCCACACTTAAGTTCGACATTGCCCTCAATGGAGAAGAGGGAAGGATAAGGGGAACGATGTTACCAGTATGAACAGATTGCAGTGGGACTAGAAGGTGGACCAGTCGGAGTGAAGAGGACTGGAAATGGGACCAGTCGGTGCAAAGGCACAGCTAAAGGGAACAGAAGAACTCAAACACAATATGTTAGGTCCAGTTGTCGCCCAATAGTACATCATCCAAAACAAAAGAAAACAAACCAAAACCAAACTCTGATCCAAAAGAAAAGAAAGTACAAACGGGCGAGCGAGTACAACCTACTCGAGCTCGCTAAAGTCGATTTGCTGCATGAGGTCGTCGACCCCATTGACCGGTGGTGGTGGCGGTGGCTGCGGTGAGTGGTCCCACCTAGTGGACCAGTGGTGCTCCTGAGGAGGGTGGCCATCATGCGGCGGTGGCGATCATGCTCCCGCTCGATAAGTGAACTAGTGACTCCCTGCTGAGCCTACATCCGATCGAGGCGCTCGTCAAGGAATGCCATCCGCGACCGGTATTCAGCATGGTGGGCCGAGTACTGCTGGTAGAACTGGTGCTGGTGGTCCATCAGCTGCTGGTTTTGGACCCCAAGCTGCTGAAACTGGAGCCCCGTCCGAGAGAACTGCTCTGTGAAGAAGTCCATCAACGGAACAGAACACATCGACGGACCAGAAGGACCGGACGAGGACTGGCCTCGCTCCGGTCTCCGTCGTGGCTGAAGATCCCCTGGTGGAGAGAGCGGGGGCTCCTGCATCTCAGCGTCCCAAGCTCCACCACCACCATCATCATCATCTTCGGCCTCATCTTCGCCGGTGTCGTCATCCTCCTCCTCCTCCTCATCATCATCATCTTCATCGGGGGGCAGGGACAACCCATCTACCCAGGATGGCCCGCCATCGGAAGCCAGCAAAAGTGCATGGTGAAGCACCTCCCGGCTGAGAGGGGCGGAGCCGCCCTGGGCCGTGGCATCGGTCAACCCAGTGAAGACGACCTCGAAGGGGCGCGCTAGCCGTGTGATCAAAGGACCACATAAGAGATAGCTGGGTCTCCCGTGGCACCTTTTGAAGGTGGTGGCAACGAAAGACCCCAAGTGTAGCATATGGTCAGGGCGCTCCATCGAGTACATGGCGTAGAGCACCCGCTTCGGCATCTTGTGGGAGCCGGTGACGTTAGGAACGACCGAGCGGGTGAGGAGCAAGTTGATGATGTGCCACTCCGGTCGAACGGTAGAGACAAAAGTCTGGCCCGGATCAAACAAAA